AAACCTCGGGACAACGAAAGTTTAAATTATATTATATAATAATTATATAATAAATAATATATAATTATATATATATAAATAATAAATAATAATATTATAAATAATATATAATTATATATATAAATAATAAATAATAATATTATATATTAAAATCGTAACTCTATCAGAGTTAAAATTTCCATAATGAATAACTGTTCTAGAGCAGCCTGGAACCTGCAACAGAAACGGAGTCACCTCCGCCCTTTTTCTCTCTCTCCTTCCTATCGCGTTTATACTCTCGAATCGTTTTGCCCCCACGGGGTAACATCGCGGATGCTGGCCAACCCTTGTAACAGCTAACATCTAGCAGCGGGGAGTTGCGCGTTGCGCGTGTACCAAGTCAGCCGCGCGCGTCTCGCTTCGGGAACGGGAACGGTAACAGGAATGCGATCGGAAAATCCAGCATTCGAAAGTCGAAGATTAACAAAACGAAACACGGTCGAGCAAATTGACCGCTGTTACCACAGCGCGACGTCGGTGTGCAATCACAATTAATTTCAACACGTCGGTTGTTCTCTGTCATCGACTCGAGTCAGATCAAACCGGATCCGTATCGAGCTGTAACGAAGCTGATATCATGCTTCGTGATTCCAAATGTTGCCGGCTCGCCGCGATGCATCGACGACGGGAAGCGTCGAGTTTAGAAGCAGGTAAGGAGAAAGCTGTGACAATGGTTCGATGGAATTTTCGAGGAAATTTCAAGCGTGCGAAAGCACGTCACACTGTTCCGCCGGACTGGATATCAATTTTCGATTGCGCGAAAGAACGAAGACGCGAGGGTCGTTTCTCTCCCGAACTAGGATCACGTTGTCGACAGTGAACGCGATTTGTTCGCGTTACCAAAAAAATGGACCGCGTACGTTGACAAAGGGTGGTGCCGAGAACCGAAGCGCGTTGTTCGAATCGATCGGGAGAAACGTTAATTGAGAAAATTCCAGGGAAGTGGCGATCAAGGTACTTCACAGTATCGAACACGGTATCGATCCGCATCGCGAACGAGAGTACGCGTGAATCGTTGGAAACGTGAAAGAACGTCGTGAAACGAGCATGGTCGGGATCTTCTCGTTCCTACGGTCAGCTCGTATTGATCGTGCTTTACTTGTTGCACGCATAGCAGAGCTCGACCCCGTGCGCATTCCCCAACTCCGGCTCCGACACCTTTCCCCGACCATCTCTGTCTTCATTTTTCATCAGTGAATCTAATTAACGTCCGAACACAGCGAGCAACGAGTTACGCACAACGAGCCGTGTAAACGCGATCCGTGACTCCTGTTTTAAGCACCTTGCTCGAACGATTCTCGAACAAAGAGAGAATCTCTCGTGCCGAGAGAACTCGACGTCCGAGCAACGGTAACGATGAAAATTGATGGCACTATCCGCGAACATGTTTCGCAACGTTTTCCTTTCTGAATGGAGGAAGATGCGTGTTTATAATTCGTCGAACAGGTTGTTCGGTTTCAGGGCAACGAACGACGATACCGACTTACTCGACCTATCATGAACTGTAAATGCATCCGTAACGAATGTCAGGATCCGATGTCAAAATGCGCCGTGCTTTGTTAACCGTTGTCTCTTTGGTAATGCTAGTCGCTGGCTATTCGCCGCCCATGGAGGATTCGACGAGAAACGTTTTTGGTGAGCCATCTCTCTCTCTCTCTCTTTCTCTCTCGCTGATTAACAAATCAGTTAAATTGTGCGTGATTAACAGAGAACGAAACTCGCAAGAAGAAAAACTTCGTCGCGTTTCAGGTGAATGCATTCTTCCATTGGGTATGGAGGAGGGAAAAATACCGGACGATGCCATCACAGCTTCCTCGAGTTACGAGAGCAAATCGGTGGGCCCTCAAAACGCGAGGTACGCGAACACGTTTCTCTTTTTCTTTCGGTTTTATTTGTTGAATTACTGCGAGCACCGCGAATACCGTGCTCTCGTGCTCCATTTTTCTGGGATGGTCTGTTTGTACAGTCAAGATATTGGAGTGTCCCATAAGTTCTTTCCTTTTTTTTCTGATGCGAAATCATTACACGATATTTGTTGCTTAAGGTTGATTTATCGAGCTATATATGAACCGTTCTGCTCTATTACCTTCGTCCATCTTTCAGGAAGCCTCATTATGCCGTCTTTCCAAGATCGTTGAGGCTTATTTGCAAAATATTGATCAAGGTGCGTTTTTATTTCGCTTACGAATTTAAACCGTTTTTCACGGAAAGAATTTTTTAACGAGAAGAACGAGTAATAATCGGATAGAGCAATGTCTGGGGAGTACGAAGGATGAGGTAGAACGTCCCAATCGAACTGCAATAATTTTTGTCTTACGACCAACGCAACACGCGGTTTTGCGTTGTCGCGATGAAAAACGACGCCGCGTCGGTTCGCCAATTCTGGCCGTTTTTCTGCTATGGCGGCTTTCAATTCATCGAGTCGATTACAATATTTAGCTGAATCGATCGTTTCACCTTGAGGAAGGAGCTCGTAGTAGACTACACCTTTCCAGTCCCACCAAATGCGCGAAAGAACTTTTTTCGGACGAAGTCCTGGCTTCGCAACAATCGAGGGACTATTTCTTTTTGACCAAGTTCGTTTTCGATGCACATTTTGGTATCAAATCCAAGTCTCGTCTCCAGTGACAAGCCTCTTTAGGAAAGGATTTCTTCCATGTCGTTGGAGAAGCGAATCGCACGTAGAGACGTGGTTCATAAGGCTGGTGTCAACACCTATCGACGTTGTGGAACTTCGAATGGATTCACACATCTCATCTTGATTAAATGCTTATGTACCGTTGTCCTGGATATGTTAGTGGCATCCGCACACGCTATATCGCGGATTTTCAGCGAGCATATCTTTGATAAGTCCCGCATCCGTCGTTGTTGGACGGCCGCTGCGGTCTTCATCTTTCAAATCAAAATTGCCAGCTCTGAATCTCTTAAACCAATCGCGGACTGTCCTAATAGTCGTAGAATCATCACCGCAAACGGTACAAATCTCGTTTGCAGTGTCCTTTGCCCTATCACTTTTTTTTAAAGCAATGAAACACAACATGCCGCGAATGCTTCTTTCGGCTATCCATATAGAACGGCGCAGAAAAATTTGATAAGGAACTTTGTCAACAACGAAATATACTCTAAAAGAGCTCTGGGACGAGTGNCATTTTTTTTAAAGCAATAAAGCATAACATGCCGCAAATGCTTCTTTCGGCTATCCATATTGAACGGAGCAGAAAAAATTTGATAAGGAACTTTGTCAACAACGAAATATACTCTAAAAGAGCTCTGGGACGAGTGAAACCGATACCCTAAACAGTCAAGAGATAAGCCTACGTGTTTATATAAACACAGCCAGGTAGAGTCATTCATAGCGCGACGCGGAAAGAACTTATGGAGCACCCTAATACAGTGATGTCTCCAGTATTGACGCTTAGATTGCGCACAAAAATGGACAATTTGGGAAGAGGAGATACGATTGAATTGAGTCTTGCGCCTCGTTTTATAGTTACGAATTATCAACAACTATAAAACGAGATTTAAGGCTCGAATAATCGTATCTCCTCTTCCCAAATTGTCCAATTTCGTGCACAATCTGAGCGTCAATTAGAGAGACATTACTGTAACTAGATTAAATACGCAAAACGGTAAAGACGTTAGAAGAATCGAAGAATATTTTTCCAGCTGATTAAGGACGACTAAAAGAGTAAAGACATTTTTATCGGACTTAAGTTTCATTATAATTAACTCGGGCAATTTTTATTTCGCGTAAAAATCTAGTAATGAAATTTATCAGGTAAACGATCGAAGCAACAGAATTCAGTCATCATCTTTGCATCAACTGATCTCAGAGTCTATTCAGAGTTGTACTAATTCGATCGACAATATTAATTTTGCATTCACTCGAATAAATCCTCATGATAATAAATTAATCAAAAGAACGGTGAACATCGATTTCAACCGGATGTCGTAAATTAGTCGTAAAGGCTAATGCAGTCTCTCTAATCGACGCGCAGATTGACCACAAAAATGGACAATTTGGGAAGAGGAGATACGAGTATTCGAGCCTTGCGGTTTACTTTTATAATTATAAATTGTCCACAATTATAAAAACGAGCCGCAAGGCTCGAATAATCGTATCTCCTTTCCCCAAACTGTCCATTTTAGTGGACAATCTGTGCGTCGATTAGAGAGACACTACTGTAGTATTCATCGGGCGAAACAATAGTTTCGAAACTGTGTTGCCAGGAAATGTACGACGCGAGGGGAAATCTCTTCACCCCCTTGTCCCGTGCCACGAAATCGCGCCCCTTTCCCCGTGCCTCTATTACACAAATTTTAGTTTGTTCGCGATTGTGAACACGCGGTTGAAAGAGAAGAAGGCGGGAACCGCCGACTGTCTCAGAAAAATTCGAACGTTTCGTCACCGTGATTGTAGAATACGACAAGAAAAGAACGGCGGTGCCTGGTGTCCGAAGGCGCAGATCAGCAGCGCGATACGAGAATACCTGGAGATCGACCTGACGAGAAACCACCTGATCGCGTGGACCGAGACTCAAGGACGGTTCGGCAACGGTCAAGGCCAAGAGTTCGCGGAGGCGTTTTTTCTCGAATACTGGCGCGACACCAAATGGCATCAGTACAAGAATTTGAAGGGTGACAGAGTTCGTGTCGTCGGTAAATCGACCGCGGGAGTCGTCCGCGTTGCTTCGATTTCGCGATCGTTCGGATCGTTCGTATCGACGGACAAAACAATAAGACACGATACAGAGATATAATACCGGGTCCAAGGTGACGACGTGAAGCTGTAAGATTTTCGATTTTCGATTCCGGATATCTCGGATTAGGGCCAGGGGTTGTCGAGACGGTCTGGTTTGGTCTCTTGTTTCGAGCGCAAAGCGAGACGTCTCCTGTGAATGTTGCACGAATAAACTAGATCCTTGGGTACGTAGGACGGTATATCGAACGAAGCTTGACCGTTTCAGGTGTTGCGTGGGAACAGCAACACGTACCTCGTGGAGAAACAAAAGCTGGACCTGCCGTTCGTCGCGAGCAGGGTGCGATTCGTGCCGTACAGCAAGCATCCTCGAACCGTGTGCATGCGAGTCGAGATTTATGGATGCTTGTGGGATCGTAAGTACACGCCTCCTGCGAGCAACATGATTCATAATTTATACTGGTTTATACTGGTTTAAAAATTAAAACGTTAATAAAATTATGTAGTAAATTTAATGTTATTATAGAAAAGAAAATAATATTATGCCTGATTAACACGTTGAATGCCACGCCGATTTTACAGAAATTGTCCGTGGCGCCACGATGAATTTTCTTTTATGCGATACATATAATGTTGAAATATTACCTGCAATAGATAAGTTACAGTGTATAACCATGTTTGACATGTTAATTGCGACAGGGGTCATTGTTTGAATTGACGATGGTAGTAATACAAAATTTGAGATATTGACACTTGTTTTAAATCATATATATTTCTGTCAATTTGGGCGCGCCGTTCACCGGTGGCCCCCATGGCGTCACCGCCAACTTAAGTGCCGGTCACCGGTGACCCCAGTGGCATTCAACGTGTTAAAGGAATAAATTGTAAATTTATGGATGAAATTTGAAGATTTCTAATATTAGAGTTTGCGTAATTTATATAAAATATTAAATTGCAAATTTATAAATAATCGATCTAATCGGGCCTAATCTAATGTATTGTAACACACGTTGGCAGAGTACGTTGTCAGGTACGTCGCTCCGCGTGGAACGCGAGAAGGACCTGGTGGATGCAACGTTGAAGATTCGTCGTACGACGGTGATAAGGAACCCGGACCCGACTCATCGCTAGTGAACGGTTTGGGCCAGCTGACGGATGGAATTTTAGGCGAGCTCTCCGAGATTTTGTCCTCCACGGCGACTGCCACCAATTGGGTAGGATGGACCGATCGCGAAACCGTTCAATTCCTCTTCGAATTTCAAGAGCTGCGGGAATTCGAGAATTGCTCGATTCACGTGGCACGTTTGCCGGAACTGGAAGTCGAGGTTCGCGTTTTCCCTCTCCGTTTTCCTCGCCGTCTTCTTAACCCTTTGCACTCGAAGCTATCTTAACTGAAAATATAAAATAATTTTTCTAACTTATAGTATTTTGTACTTTATATTGACAAAATGCATTTTATGCATATGAAAGTGACTCTTGGGACTCGCGCAACGGTTACACTCTTAACAATTGTTTAAATCTACACTTTGTTAATCCTTAGCGCTCCGCGCGTTTCTTTTTCCGGCACATTTTTGGAGCGGAGCGCCTGAGATAAAGGAAGTCTTATTTTGAGCGGAAAAGATTACACGTCCTTGCGAATGCATTTGATTTTATTGATTTTATAAATATACATTTTCCTATTGTAAATACAAGATAAATTTTAAATTTTGTCGTTCACCATAGTGCGATATCTTTGGTAACAATCTCCCATGTGCATTCTGGGTTTATTTGGACAAGTGTCGCAGTATTCACTTTGCCAAATAGAGTTACCAGATATTTCTTTCAAGTTTAGAACATTTTCTGCGTAATTGTTGGTTTCCTTTATAATTTCGTTTACCAATTCGTCCGTGAAAAATAATTTAAAATATTGTATCGGCTGTTGAATGTTTGTAGAAACTTGTGGTCCAATGACCTGTGGAAATACGTTCGAAGGTATTCTATCTGGAATATGTAATTCTTCCGTAACATCACGCCATTCATCCAAGTCTTGTAAGGAATCTTCGCTTTCGCTTTCAATAATTCTCATTCTTCGTCTCTTTGGTAGTGTAATTTCGCTACTACTACTCGAAGTGACAGAATCATAACCAACATTGTCTTCCACAATGTCTTTTAACTCTTCAAAATCAAATACGTCTTCGGTATCATTCGGCTCTAAATTCTCATCGTAATATTTATCTTTCTCCATGTTGCTAACCATAGAAAAGGTCATAAAATGCTTTAATCATAATGGTACAGACTTAGCACGTTTTAAGTACAGATAACAATTGCTACCACCGACGATAACGTATGCTAAAAACATTTGGCTCCGCAGCGGAACCTTCGGAGTTACGGAACAAATGACAAATATCTCCGTAGCGGAGCCTTCGGAGCGCTAAGGATTAATATCAAAATTATCTTAAAAGATGATATAACAAATTTGAGTCACCACTCGAGTGCAAAGGATTAATAAACCTTCTTAACTCTTTCTTAATAAACCGGCTTGTTAACTCGGTTCTACTCTCGCAGATGTTCTCCAGACTGCGAATTTGGTTCTCCACCGACGGTGACGACTACCAAACGAACCCGGACATATCGGAAACGATTCCGATCGACGTCAACGATGCGATCAGCACCGTTCTCTCGACGTCGATCCCGTTGCGGTCCAAGACCGGAAGGTTCGTGAAGTTGGAACTTGATTTTGCCGGGAAATGGTTGCTTCTCAGCGAGATCACTTTTTACACGGGTACGGCTCATTGCTCCGTTTCGTTAGTTTAACCAGTTAGCTGTGGCGCCTCCTTTCCAGAGCGCGCGCCTATATGTGTCGCTAGAATCAAGCGATGACGAGTATACTCGTCAAGAAACAAAATGCTGTCACTTCTCCGTGACGAGTATACTCGTCAGTATATATACTCGTCGAACACAGCTAACTGGTTAATTAGTCTTTCCCACGTTGCACAAGCAGCACGGTTCTAACGTTTTCACCATTATTACCAGTCTCGATCATTGAGAACCGTTTGGTTGGTTCTTACACGTCCATCGATCGATCGTTCGGCGAGGATCGAAATCAAAGCGAACTATGGAGAAAATTGTCCGAGCTGGAAACCACGATGTCCGATCTGAACGAGACGGATATTTACAAGATTCTTAAAGACGACGACTCGACCCTGGACGCTTTTCCCGTGGCAAGCCTTCAGACTTACGTCGGTCTTGTTAGCGGGCTGCTGACCGTGATCGTTCTCTTTCTAACGTGCACGGCGTTTCTGATCAAGCAAAGAGGCCGCAACAAGGTAGCGCTCCTGCAAAAGCACACGGCTCTCCTGTGCGACTCGTCCGCTCCCGGCATCGCAATCAATCCGAAAGACGTTAAAATTCACAGTTCGATCGTAAACGGACTGTCTCTGATTCGCAAACCCATTATTATTACAATGGCCACCTCCGCCAGCGGCACGCTCAACTCTGCGAGCACGACAACGGCCACGACCGCGCCTGCAATCGCACCTGCAACCGCGACAGTAACTGCGACCGCAACTGCAACCGCGACCGCGATCGCAACCGCGACCACCGCCGCGACAGCAACCGCAACTACAACCACGTCCGACACCGCCGCTATCATCAATAACGCACTCGTCGAAACCGATTCGACCAATACCCAGGCGGATCAGCAATCGGATCGTTCGCGAGCCAACTCGCAAGCTGCCGGCAATCAGCCTCATCGTGCTTCCGTCGTGTACGAGAAAACTTGCCAACTGCTCCCCGACGAAGATTTCATCCTCGCTGGACTGAACATATCCCCGCGTACATCCGAATCCTGCACCGGTGAGTCCGACTGGGACACCACCCGCCATCTTGGTCTATACGGTAATGTCTCCCTTAGTGACGCTCAGATTGTCCACTAAAGTGGACAATTTGGGAAGAAGAGATACGATTATTCGTGCCTTGCGGCTCGTTTTTATAATTGTGGACAATTTATAACTATACAAATAAACCGCAAAGCTCGAATAATCGTTCTCCTCTTCCCAAATTGTTCATTTTCGTGCGCAATCTCGGCGTCAATTAGAGAGACATTACTGTATATCGAAAGAGAATTCTTGTATTCGAAAGTATGAAAGTATATTATCATGCTTCATAATTGCGGTGTTCCAATTTTACTGGACACGCATGAAATTTGTTCATTTTCATATTCGACGTTAGTTTTGAAACGTACAATGTTAATATTTTATTAACAATATTAATACTTTTCAAGAATTCGTTATCAATCTTTTCAGTTTTGCACACTTTTTGCCCGAAGCGCTTCTGCCTGGAGAGCGAGCAGGGCATTTCATTGCATTAATTTGATTATCTTTGAAATACCGTTCAATTATACGAATGGTATACAATAATGTCTCTCTAATTAATGCTCAGATTATCCACAAAAATGGACAATTTGGGAAGAGGAGATACGATTTTTCGATCCTTGCGGTTCATTTTTATAATCGTTGACAATTCGTAACTATAAAAATAAACCGCAAGACTCGAACAATCGTATCTCATCTTCTCAAATTGCTCGTTTTTGTGCGCAATCTGAGCGTCAATTAGAGAGGATTTACTATACACAGTAATGCTAGAATAATATTGATGACACAACTTATTTATTTCTAATTCTTTGCTACGATTCGAAGGCAATTCGGAGGCTACATGATACATTCGAAGGGAATTCGGAGGCCACGTGCCACGAAATTGTCCTTTTTTGTGATCAATCTGGGTATCAATTAGAGGACATTACTGTATGTATATCTTTCTTTCTCTCTGTCATTTTACAGACTTCAAATGCAAAATCTCGAACTTCACGAGAAACAAATCGACGGAATTCGCGCTCCCGGCCCCAGCTGTCGCCGAGACGAAAAAGCCCACCCATTATTCTGTTCCGGGGAAAACGGTTCGGAAGGTGCACGAAGGATACTATGCTGCCACGGATATTTTGACGGTAAGATGTCGGTGTGATTCGAAATACGACGGCGATCAATTTTCTATCTAAATTCTTCCTAATTGACGCTCGGATTGCGCACAAAAATGGACAATTTGGGAAGAGGACACACGATTATTCGAACCCCGCGGCACGTTTTTATAGTTGCTGACAACTAGTAATCGTATCTCCTCTTCCAAAATTGTCCATTTTTGTGTACATGCCGAGGGTCAATTAGGGAGAATTTACCGAATTTATTTTTTGGTGAATATTGATCTTCATTCGTTCAGTAGTACTTTTTTAAGCACTTTTATAAGCTTTCGCAGAAAATTTCGTGAGTTCATTATGAAAAATTCAAATAATCTTCCGTGGTGTTTTAAGAACAGAAATTTCACGTGTTTAAGTTTAACAAATAAATAATGAATTATATAATATGAATTATATAATCATTAAATAAATAATGAATTTAAGTAACAAAATTCGATATATTTTATACGATAAATATAAAGTTAATTGTGCTTGAAAATGAATAAAAGCCGTGATAATTGAGCACCCCACAGTAACTTGCTCCACTGAACCTTTCAGCCCTCTAGTTTCCGGTGTGCCATTGTAATGATCACTTTGAGATCGTTGCGTGACGAAGAATACACGTAATTTCAGATAAAAAGGCGAGAACTGTCGTCGACCGTGAGCCCGTTCACGCCGTTACACATCCGAGAGAAGGGTGGCAAAGCGATCATAACAAGGACGCTCGATACACGAAATATCCGGCGTATTTCGAGACACAGGCTACGGATCCTGGACATGCTCGGCGAAGGTAACTTCGGCTTGGTAAGCATTGACTTTCGACCACGATTGGGATAAGTTGCGAGAGCGTCTAAACGTGTCTAAATCGAGACATCCATTCGCGACAGGTGCACTTGTGCGAGGCGAAAGGGATCGCGAGTCCGAACGTGGGATCTGTACAAAATCGGCAAACCGTGATCGTCAGGTCTCTCTGGCGAGGCGTCGTCGATTCTTTGCGGTACGCTTATACCATTCTAGTTAGTAATTCTTTTAGTAGTACAGTAATGTCTCTCCAATTGATGCTCAGATTGTCCACAAAAATGGGCAATTTGGGAAGAGGAGATACCATTATTCGAGCCTTGCGGTTTATTTTTATAGTTGTTGACGATTCGTGACTATAAAAATGAACAGCAAGGATCGAATAATCGTCTTTCTTCTCCCTAAATTGTCCATTTTTGTGGACAATCTGAGCGTCAATTAGAGAGACATTACTGTAGTTCTTTTAGTTAGTACAGTAATGTCTCCCTAATTGACGCTCAGATTGCGCACAAAAAGGGACAATTTGGGAAGAAAAGATACGATTATGCCTTGTGACTTGTTTGTTATGGTTATCGATTGTAACAAATTATAAAAACGAGGCGCAAGCCTCGATTAATTGTATCTTCTCTTCCCGAATTGTCCATTTTTCTGCACAATTTCGGCGTCAATTAGGGAGACATTATTGTATCGATGCTTTCTACCTTGACGCTGGATACAGTAATGTTTCTTTAATTGACGCTCAGCTTGTCTACAAAAATGGACAATTTGGGAAGAGAAGATACGATTGTAGAAGGCTCTAACAATCGCATCTCCTCTTCCCAAATTGTCCATTTTTGTGCGCAATCTGAACGTCAATTAGAGAGACATATTACTGTAATTCTAACGTTTGTTATTTTTCGTCATTGTTCGAACGCATTCGATGATGGATTTCCACAGAATCGACTTTACGAAAGATATGCGCGTTCTGGCAACTCTCCGAGATCCGCACGTGGCAAGGATGCTCGCGTTGGTCGAGGAAGAACCGTTCGGAGCCGTGTTCGAGTACAGCGAGTTGGGAGATCTGCCCACCTTTTTCCAAAGCCGGAGCACGTTCGCCGAGAACGAGACGACCCTAAGGTTTTCTGGTTTCATCGCGACAAATGGGAGAAAAATCGAGCCCGTTCGATTTTAACGATTCGCTTTCCGTTTTTCAGCTATAACGACCGCTTGAATTTCGCAAGGCAAATCGCGAGCGGCATGAAGTATCTAGAGTCTGTGAAGATTCCGCACTGCGACCTGGCGGCCAGGTAAAACAACTTTGACCAGCTAAACCAGCTACGGTAATGTCTCTCTAATTGACGCTCGGTTTGTCCACAAAAATGGACATTTTTGGAAAAGGAGATACGATTATTCGAGCTTGTGGCTCGTTTTTTATGGTTATCGATGATCAACAACTATAAAAACGAGTTGCAAGGCTCGAATAATCGTGTCTCCTCTTCCCAAATTGTCCATTTATGTGCACAATCCGAGCGTCAGTAAGGGAGACATTACTGTAGACAATTTGGGAAGGGGAGATACGATTATTCGAACCTTGCGACTCGTTTTTATAGTTGTATACAATCGATAACCATAAAAAAACGAGTTGCAAGGCTCGAATAATCGTATCTTCTCTTCCCAAATTGTCCATTTATGTGCACAATCCGAGCGTCAGTAAGGGAGACATTACTGTGAACTATTGCCAACTACGAACGCGAACGTTTCGCGTGTTTCAGAAATTGCATCGTTGGACAAAATCTGACGATAAAGGTGTCCGATCATGCGATGTTCTGCAGCAAGTACGATCACCATTACTACATGGACGCGTACAACGGGAAGATTCCACTTCGTTGGATGGCATGGGAAGCGGTCATTCTGGTAAGTACGATGATTATAGCTTCGGCCCTGCCGAACATAGAGAAGCGAGCAACGAAGCGCATGGCGGCAAAACATCGTGTACATGTTACCGACGAACATTTCCTCGACCTACTCGAAATGTACATCGTTCCGACGCTTCTATCGGGCCGTTTCTTCTTCAGAAATGTCTACAGAATCCGATCCTGGGTAGAGTTTTCGTGCCGAACAAAGAACTTCTCGTAAAAATACAAAAATATTGCGGAGAAACTGCGCGCGTCGAAACTTTTTTTAAACTTTCACATTAATTTATTGCTATTTAGGACCAAAAAGCAATGAATAAATTGCATGCCACTATATTCGGGAAACTCGAATATAGTGTATATATATACTATAGTATACTATATACATACTATATAGTATACTATATTACTATAGTATAGTATATATAATACTATATAGTATACTATATATAGTATACTATATTAGTATAGTATAGTATATATATACTATATATATATCTATATATCGAATATTATATATTGTATTTAAACTCGAATATATAATATTCGATTAGAACTTTCTAACGTTTGTACATTTCATGCAATACCTCATTTTTGTCGAAAATTTGGGGTTTTTACAAAAGCTCGTTCTTTTTCCAAAACTGAGGGTGATGGAGCAATTCGGTTTTCGGATCCTCGATCGGGGAGTGAAGCTCTACAAGAATTTCATAGTGGCTATAGGAAATCAGAAAAAAAAGTTTGATTTTGTCGGACGGTGTTATCGAAAACGCTGCGTCACGATTACCGACGGTGCACGTTCACGAACGTTTTTTTTTTGTTTGTTTACAGAGCACGCGAAGCTGCCGAGCGGACATTTGGTCGTTCGCCGTAACGATCTGGGAGATATTGACGAGCTGTACAGAAATTCCGTATTCGCATCTAACGTCGGAGCAGGTTCTCGAGAATCACAACCGCTGGTATCAAGGGAACGCGGATGGAAACGGAACCGGGACCGGAAACGGCCTAATCAACGTCGACGAAAAATATCAGCCGCGAGTTCTGCCCAGGCCTAATTACTGCTCCGACGATCTCTATCGCGTTATGAACGAATGTTGGAGCAAACGAACCGAGGACAGGCCTACCTTCGAAGAAATGAATCGTTATCTCGAGAAACTGGCGCACGTTTGAAGTCGCGGGGCACTCGGTCGCGATTCGCGCGGACCAAAATCGGTTACAATCAGCTAAGATGCATCCTGTTTCGTGTATGTAAATTTATCTTTTTTATGCTCGTCCAGCTTCCTCCTGTCTCTCCCTCCGTCTTCCACTCTGTCTTCCTCTCTGTCTCTATATACGCGCGGTACCATTCCACGGCCGAAGACGAGGAACAAAGAGAAATGACCAATTTCTCTCGACTCCTGATCCTCGACCATCCGTCGCCGCTCCTCTCTTCTTTCGGTAACGCAAGACTTCAAGACTTTCTCGCGAGATTCTCGTACAAATCGATGCGTCGCTCCAGGATGTTCTGGCCATCGACTCGTAATGCTCAACTAGATTTACTATGGACTCTGGTCTTTACGTATATATATGCGTGTACGTACAAGTATACATATAGAAATACATGTAAATTGTCTAACGAGTAAGTTCGCCGTCACCGAGGGATACGAAGTTTTGATAATGTTACCAAGTAATGTCTCCCTAATTGACGCTCGGATTGTCCACAAAAATGGACAATTTGGGAAGAGGAGATACGATTATTCAAGCCCTGCGGCTTGTTTTTATAGTTGTTGATAATCGAAAACCATAAAAAACGAGCCACAAGGTATCTCAATACAATGGTATCTCCTCTTCCAAAATTGTCCATTTTTGTGGACAATCTGGGCGTCAATTACAGAGACATTACTGTATCCTCGTGCTCTCGTCTAATCGTGTGCGCGACAATGATTGCGCTTTCAAATTATCGCCGGCAATCCGATTGGTTCGCGAACGCGCACTCACGCTTCTCGTTCTCGCGCCGTACAATCAATGGCGGATTTATCAATGGCAACGTTAACTTCGGCGATCGGTAGAATAGGTTCTCGCAAATCATGCTCCGCGCCTATCGGGTGATACGGCACTAAAGAGAGTTCGTCGTCGAACGAGAATCGACTAGAAAAAATCTGTCAGCCTACAAAATCGTAAATCCGCCGCTACACAATGTTTTCGTCGCAATATTACCTCGCATACACAAGGTGCTCGTACACGTGGCAAAAACCTTTCCCGACCGTGCTCGAACAGCCAATACAGTAATGTCTCTCTAAATTACGCTTAGATTGTACACAAAAATCGACAATTTTGGAAGAAAAGATACGATTGTTCGAGCCTTGTTGCTCATTTTTTATTGTTATCGATTGTATACAACTATAAAAACGAGTCGCAAGGTTCGGATAATCGTATCTCCTCTTCCCAAATTGTCTACAGTAATGTCTCCCTTACTGACGCTCGGATTGTGCACAAAAATGGACAATTTGGGAAGAGGAGACACGATCGTTCGAGCCTTGCAGCTCGTTTTTATAATCGTTGACAATTCGTGACTATAAAAACGAACCGCAAAGCTCGAATAATCGCATCTACTCTTCCCAAATTGTCCATTTTCGTGCGCAATCTCAGCGTCAATTAGAGAGACATGACTGCATATCGAAAGAGAATTCTTGTATTCGAAAATATGAAAGTATATTATCATGCTTCATAATTGCGGTGTTCCAATTTTACTGGACACGCATGAAATTTGTTCATTTTCATATTCGACGTTAGTTTTGAAAAGTGCAATGTTAATATTTTATTAACAATATTAATACTTTTCAAGAATTCGTTATCAATCTTCTCAGTTTTGCACACTTTTTGCCCGAAGCATTTCTGCCTGGAGAGCGAGCAGGGCATTTCATTGCATTAATTTGATTATCTTTGAAATACCGTTCAATTATACGAATGGTGTACGGTAATGTCTCTCTAATTGACGCTCAGATTGTCCACAAAAATGGACAATTTGGAAAGAGGAGATACGATT